CAAATGTACTATTGCAGCAACAATACAGAGCAAAAGGCTTTGTAAAATATTCTGAGTTGATTTCTTGTTTGCTGTTGGCTGAACAAAATAACGAGTTGTTGATGAAAAATCATGAATCTAGACCCACGGGGTCTACTGCGGTCCCTGAAATAAATGCTGTAATATCTAAACAGGGAACCAGAACTGAAAACAGCCAGACATATGTGCGTGGAAATACCTCGGGACGTGGCCGGGGTCGTGGACGTGGCCGTGGCCGTGGATATGGCCCAGATCGCCGATTTGACCAAGGCTTCAAATTTCACAGAGGGTACAACTCGGGCCGAGGGAATTATCATGGACGAGGCCGTGGCTATGTCCAAAATTATGAAAGGGGGAGAAATTTTCAGCCAAAATTTGAACAAAATAATGTGACGGAGAATAATATGAAAATGCATGTTATCGATGTGGAAAGACGGGACATTGGGCACGAAATTGTCGTGCTCCGAAACACATTGTTGATAAATATAATGATTCCCAGAAATCAAAAGATAAAAATGTAGAAACTAATTTTTATAGTTGGGGAATCATCTGAAAATAATACAACACGTGTAGATGATGACTATGGCATCGATGACATGTTGAACCTGGATTTTGCTGATGCGGTATTTGAAGAAAGAGCTGGAAATGACCAAGAGAACAACTGATTATCCTGTTTCTTTTATTGATTTCTAAGTTTTTTTGTTGTATTTGCGTATTTGTACTAGTTGTATCAGTATTTCAAATTTGATCAATAATAATGTTGTTTTCTTTTAGATCATGGATCGGTCTCGAATTCAAAATGGAGATATATGTCTTGCAGATTGTGCCACAACTCATACTATACTCAAGGACAAAAAATATTTTGTCAACTTGAAATTAAATAAAGCAAAAGTAAACACAATATCTGGAAATGCAAAGATAATTGAGGGTTCTGGAAAAGCCATATTTTTTATGATGGGAGGTACAAAGTTTACATTGAATGATGCATTATTCTCCCCGAAATCAACAAGAAACTTGTTGAGTTTTAAAGATATCCGAATGAACGGATACCATGTTGAAACAATGAATGAAGGGGGAGTTGAATATCTTTGCATTACCTCAAATGTTGCGGGAAATAAATGTGTTTTGGAGAAATTGCCAGCTTTATCATCGGGCTTATATTACACCCGCATTTATATTATTGAGACTTATGCTGCAACAAAGTCACAGGCGAATGAAATGTTTAAACTTTGGCATGATAGACTTGGTCATCCTGGCTCGATAATGATGCAAAGAATTATTGAAAATTCTAGTGGACATCCGTTAAAAAATCAGAGGATATTGCAAACACATGAATTGACATGTGCCTCATGTTCTCAAGGGAAATTGATAATAAGACCATCACATACTAAAGTCGGGCATGAATCACCATTATTTTTAGAAAGGATTCATGGTGATATATGTGGACGTATTCATCCGCCTTGTGGTCCATTCAGACATTTTATGGTGTTAATTGATGCTTCTAGTAGATGGTCTCACGTGAGTTTGTTATCCACTAGAAATGTGGCATTTGCTAAATTGCTTGCCCAACTTATCAAATTAAGGGCTCAATTCCCAGATTATATTATCAAAAGGGTCAGACTGGACAATGCTGGAGAATTTACATCTCAAGCATTTAATGATTATTGTATGGCAGTGGGAATTGATGTTGAACATCCTGTAGCACATGTTCATACTCAAAATGGTCTAGCAGAATCATTGATCAAACGATTGCAGCTTATAGCCAGACCATTGATAATGAGGACAAAACTGCCCACTTCAGTATGGGGACATGCTATTCTGCATGCAGATAATCTAATTCGCATAAGACCAAGTGCACACCATACATACTCGCCATTACAGTTGGCATCTGGTAGAGAACCAAATATTGCACATATAAGAATTTTTTGTTGTGCAGTGTATGTACCAATTGCTCCGCCCCAACGTACGAAAATGAGGCATCAAAGAAGGTTGGGAATATATGTTGGATATGAATCTCTATCAATAATAAAATACCTTGAACCAAAAACGGGTGATGTTTTTACAGCTCGGTTTGATGATTGTCATTTTAATGAAGAATTATTTCCCCCTTTAGGTGGAAATGAAAAGTCAATTGAGAAAAATATTGAATGGAGAACATCATCACTATCATATCTTGATCCTCCCACCAAACAAAGAGAGCAAGAAGTTCAAAAAATTATACATCTGCAGAATATTGCAAATCAATTGCCAGATGCATTTACTGACACAAAAAGGGTGACAAAATCACATGTTGCAGCTATAAATGCCCCTGCTCGAATTGAGATTACAAAAGAAATGGCAAATGACGATGTGCTAAATGAGTTAAAGGCACACTTGAAACAAGGAAGGCCAGTGAGGTCTAAAGATAAGAATCCTCGAAAGAAAAGAGAAATTCAAGATTCGAATTTGAAAAAGAATCAAGATGATGGAAAAATTTCGGAACGAAATGAAAATATTGAAATCTCCATCAATTATGTAAATAATGGGAAACTTTGGAAGCGTGATGAGATCATTGATGATGCGTTCGCATATATGGTATCACAAGAAATTGACAAAGAAGTTGAGGACCCTGAACCAAAATCTATGATTGAATGTCAGAAAAGACATGATTGGGACAAGTGGAAAGGTGCTATTCAAGCCGAGTTAAATTCGCTTAATAAACGAAAGATTTTTGGACCTATAACCATTATACCCAAAGACAAAACCTATTGGGTACAGATGGGTTTTTGTCAGAAAAAGAAATGAGAAAAATGAAGTCACAAGATATAAAGCTCGCCTTGTAGCACAGGGATTCTCCCAGAGGCCTGGGATTGATTATGATGAAACATATTCCCCTGTTATGGATGCAATTACTTTCAGATACTTGATTAGTTTGGCCATCCATGAAAATCTTGAGATGCGTCTTATGGACGTTGTGACTGCTTACTTATATGGGTCGCTAGACGCTGACATTTATATAAAAGTTCCAAAAGGAATTAGAACACCCGAGGCGCTAAAGTCCAAACCTAAAGAGTTCTGTGCGATAAAACTGCAAAGATCATTGTATGACTTGAAACAATCCGGGCGTATGTGGTATAATTGTTTGAGTGAACAATTACTGAAACGGGGATACATAAATAATCAAATATGCCCGTGTGTTTTTATAAAAAGATCACAAGATGGAATTGTGATAATTGCTGTCTATGTCGATGATCTTAATATTATTGGGACTAAAAATGCAATTCAAGAAGCAGTCACTTTACTAAAAGGCGAATTTGAAATGAAAGATCTCGGACAAACCAAATATTGTCTCGGCTTGCAAATAGAACGAGTCCAAAATGGGATATATGTCCATCAATCTAATTACACTAAAAGAATACTGAAACGATTCAATATGGACAAGGCTAATCCACTTAGTGCCCCAATGGTCAATCGAACATTAGATGTCGAAAAGGATCCATTTCGACCTTGTGATGAAGATGAAGAGATACTTGGTCCTGAAATACCATATATGAGTGCCATAGGAGCTCTTATGTATCTTGCTAATTGTACCAGACCAGATATATCTTTCGCTACTAATTTATTAGCAAGATATAACTCGGCACCTACGAGGAGACATTGGAATGGAATTAAGCATATATTCCTTTATCTCCAAGGGACAATCGATTTGGGACTGTTTTATTCTAACAATAGAAAACATGAAATATCGGTTTTGCAGATGCAGGATATCTCTCAGATCCCCATAAAGCAAGATCTCAAACTGGATACGTCTTTACAATTGGCGGAACTGCATTTTCTTGGCGTTCCCAGAAACAAACATTAGTTGCGACGTCTTCAAACCATGCCGAGGTCATTGCATTACATGAAGCAACTAGAGAATGCATCTGGCTCATAAACATGACTCAACACATTCAACAAGCCAGTGGACTATCAAATAATAATGACCCGATGGTGATATTCGAAGACAATGCAGCATGTGTCGCTCAAACAAAAGAAGGATACATCAAGAATGACAGAACTAAACATATCCCGCCAAAGTTATTCTTATATGCGCAAGAGCTTGAAAGAAACAAACAAATCACAGTTCAATACATTCGATCAAGCGATAATGCAGCAGATTTGTTTACGAAGGCGCTTCCGACGACAATGTTTCGAAAGCACGTGCACAATATTGGGATAAGACATCTTCGGGATTTGCACGGATGATAACTCGAAGGGGAGTATGTGCGGTTGTACTCTTTTTTCCTTGTCTCGATTTTTTTCCCACAGGGTTTTTCCAGATAAGGTTTTTAACGAGGCAGCATAAACGCACATTTAATAGTGATAATTCCAAAGGGGAGTGTTATACATAAGTGGAATCTTACCACTATTAAACATTATCATTGAAATTATTATATTATTAGTGTGTGTGTTGCATTGAATTGTGTGCCCAAAATGTGCCTATAAAAGGCAAGTGTTTCTTACAATTTATGTACGAAAAAAGTAGTGAAGAAGGAAAGATATTTCAGTACAATTGATATCCGGTTTTTATACATTGTGTTCTTTATTTTCATCGCATTTCATAACAGAACTGACAATGACAAAGGAGACGAGATAGTTACAAATGAAGCGTTAAAAAGATTATATAAGCTCTTTCGGTCTTTCCACACGGATGTAAAGAACACAGGACAAATCATGGAAATCATCAATATCAAGTTCACATTAATATTTTACATACTCATACACGAGTTCCTTACCACAGCTGTAAAGGCCACAAAAAGAAATGAAAACGATTTTTTCTATTCATCTCCAGTGTCGAACAAATCACTACAATCTAATTCTCAACACAGATAAAAATGAACCGAAATCGTAAGGCAAAGCCAGAGAGGGGGCAACATGTCGTATTGGGCCCTCGTCAGTACCTTTAGATAGATGTCGAGCTGCCATTGACTTAATTCTGATGGCAATTGGATTATGAAGTCTGGTCACGTATTCTCAGTGGCCTGCTTTATCTGTAGAGCACCTCTAACAATATCACCCCTTGTAATGATTCCAATCTATCACATAGCAAATTGAAAATGTTCAAGCATTAAGTTTCTACTGGTAATTGAATCACATATACTAATGCAAGAAAGGATACAGAAATCATGTTACCAGCTTTCCTTCTCCATCAACAACAGGCAGACGCCGATACTTTGTTTTAAGCAATAACCTACACGAGCATCATCAATTTCTCTGAGATGTGTTGGTAAACTTCTTATTAACTTTACGCTCTTAAGAAAAATTGATGAAGCAGTTTGTTCAAACCAGAACTCAAATCGTAACACAAATTAATTTGAGAAGCAAACCACCAGTAATAACTAATAACATAAGGTTAGACAATAAAACATTTGTTTTCAATTCAACAATAATAAATTTTTACCAATATGTGTCCAGAGCAAGTATATGAAGCAGAAGACTCCAAAAACAACAATTACTGGGGCTAGCTAGACATACATAGCCTTAACCTTACATGAAAACAAAAATCAAAACTAGCCTACATCATATTTACTGATCTGCATAACTTGCTCGACAAATGGTAAGGCAGGCAACTAAACGTGCGGTCCTGATAAGATGGAATGCATAACAGTTACTTATAGCTATTATCCAAGAATCTACACCACCCATGATGTGGAGGGTGATTTTATCTTTTTCAACGGGAAATGTTATTAGTAATTTTTAAAAACCCGTAGGTTTCAAACATAACAAGATAACAGAGTATAGTGATGGTAATAAGATAATTCTAATTTGGGAACATAAAATTGTATAATCCAACTAGAAGAGTTGAAACTACTAATACCTCACAGCATCCTCAAGATTGGTGTTTTCCCGTACAACTAGTGGTGAAGGAGTCATAAGATCACCTACAACCTTCCCATTAGTTTTGCTGAGTAACTTCTGTATTTCATTAAATGTCTGCATGGACAAAAATATTATAAACTGATGGAACCAATAGATTGAGATATTAATCCATTCAACTTATATGATTTTTACAGAATCACTCTCAAGTTGATATTCGCTTCATGTGGTGGTGCTTTTTCTTCGTTTATCAAATAGATTGATAAGTGGATTCTCAAAGCAACGATGGTGGCAAGAGCAAAAACCAACGAGCATAAAAACTAGAGTCTTTCAGATTGATATACAGTTTTTTCTTTGCCTCTGAGTGAGTAATTTGGAAGGTGATGTTTGTTGAGAATGTGTGGAAAAATTAACAAGAATTTTTTTCTTAAAAAGGGGAGAAAAAGAAAAACAGATAATAGCACATATTTCAGTTCTCTTAAATCTGTGATATACGCAGGAGGAAAGCTGAAAACTACTCTGCACACGATTTATGCATCTGGAGATTCAATCAGCAAATCATGTGATGAATGCTAATAAGACGAGAGCCCTACAATAGAAGGCAAGATATGTTCTCATCTTTCAATAAATGGATATATATAAAACACAGGGAAAAAGTAGATGATACATACTTTCCAAGTGCTATCAACAACCGGGAACAAGTTTGTATCTTGTTGAGCCCCACCTATGTTTGAGAGATGGAAAAATAGCATAATTAAACATAAATGCTTGAATACAATACTTTCAACCCTAAGCACAACTTAAATACCCTTCCACCAAGCCCAAAGAATAAAAAATTAGAAGCAATGGAACAATTTTATAAGTATGACAAAGAAACATATTATACATGGATCTCATCAACTCCTAGCAGTTAGTATGAAAATATAAGATAATGTATTATACCTAGTTATTTGCATAGTTTCATTTGGCAAGAATCACTAAAGCATAACATTTACATATTGCTGACCATGGAATTCAAGAAACATGTTCCATATCCCAAATTACTTTACTAGGATGATGAAACAGTAAGCAATGCACATACAAAATAATGCCACTACATTTTATAGAATAAAACTCGACCACCCATAGAAACCCATTTTCTGCATTCAAATGTATCCTAAAAGAATTTATTCATTTAAATAAGTATTTGTTTTCTGTAGTTTTCATGTTAATATTTGGTAACAATGCTAAAAAATCAGCCATTTTTTCCTGAGGTTGTCGTCCCAGCAACCCCGCTTCTTTCTTGATTATCTTAAGAGCGTGCCCTATATATAAATCCTAGCACTGCCATTGTCTGTAACTTAATATGCCCCATCACTGTCCCTAGCATTATGCACATTTACTAGAGACACTATCAAAAGCCACAATTGCATTTGAACACATATATAGATAAGTTCAAATATCTTTCAAACTAACAAATACACAATCAATATATCAAACAGCCCCTCGAAGTTTTCATATTAATCAAGATCCACCTATTTAATGTGTAAATAGAGACAGATAAGAGAAATTTTTAACATGGATAGCTAACTGGATTTTTATGTTTATTTACAAAGGGAATGTTTGCCAAGCCTTGAAGCAAAGTGACTCTCAGGTTCTTGATAAAAAAATAACTTTTATCTTGGCTTGTGTATTCCGGACAGTCCCTAAATCTTAAAGGTTAGTTTGTATATAGCTGAAAAAACTCAAAAAAAAATTGGTTCCACTATGTCACTGGTACCTGAGATGGAGTCAAGGGCCAATAAATCATAGTCAGAAACAACCCCAACCTGCAGAAACATTCATACGTTCTGTTAAGACTCAAAAAAGAATGATTACTTATATTCATTATTAATAAAAAATGCAACAAACTTAGCATGGCTGCTCTTCAACTCATAGATAACTGTACATAAAATCATAACGTTACCAACTTCCCATCATCATCAACCACAGGAAATCCAGTGATTCTTTTCTCCACCAGAGTTTCCAATGCTGTGCACAAACTATAATCTGTTAAATAAAAGGATGAGTTCGTAAGGAACTATTTCAAGAAATTATATGTCAGCAATACCTTCATCAACAGTTGTTGTAGGACCTACAACATGCAAACGCTCTCTTTTCGTCATAAAATCACCGACCGTGTAAACTCCCTCTTGGGTCTGAAGAGTGAAATATAAAATTTAGTCTCTCTGAATGTGAAGACTGTCTAAGATTCATATATATAATTGTTTCGAAAGTATATTTTGTTCAATCTATAGTTTAAACCACCTAAATAGTAACATCAACATTAACATTCAAATAAGTAATCCATGATTCAAATGTGGAAAATGGTCAAAAAAAATTGATTGGATACAAGGCTAAAACGGCTTTCAATTGGTGATCCATTTAAATGTAAGTCAATCTGAATGTAAGTAACGCTGAAATGAAGCAAGAATTGAACAAGTAAATGAGAAATAGAGATGTCTGGATCATGAATTCACCATGATCCCTCTTATCTTGACACCTGATTATGGATTTCAGCTCCCATATGTGATATGCCTAAAGATAAACCAAAAGCCCCTCAAAAGAACAAAATTTTTTTCCAGTATCATTAACTTATTTCTTCTTATCCTAAAACTGCAGGACGAACCACCTGAATCAGTATCCTATCAGTATACTAAATAGCCGTTTTTTTTTTTATTAGTTTTATGCAACTCTCACTGTACCACTTCTAGCACACGTAAACAAATTACAGCCCGCAGTTATGATGCAAATATCTGTGATATTTGATTCTCTTTTCTTGCAATCTTCAGTGAAGTAGATCAAGATCCTGCAACATAGACAAAGGAGACGGTATTACTCACCGGAACTAAATTTCTGGTGTCGGGTGTAGCATAAGGAAGAGCGTGAAGCCGCCGGAATTCAGAAAATCGACATCGTCGCCGTTGGTCGGAAGAATAGTAGCTTCTTGTAACTGCTGGTGGTGGAGACGGGAAGTTGCTATAGTATGTGAGGGTGCAGGGTAAGCTGCGGCCATGGAAGGTTGAAATTGCTCCAGAAAGTGGCGAAATGGCTCGAAAATCAGCAAAAGCGGTAGAGTCCATGGGCGCAGCAAGATGCGTGTGAAGAATGAAAAGGGCAAGGAACAGCGACTAAATTTGAGAGAGATGTAAAGTGGAAATGAGATATTTTTCACGGTTTTTCAAACGGTAGAATTGGGTGTGTGGAGAGTACTACTTCATGTTACTTTTGTCTCCGTTGAAAGCAAAGCGCCACCGAGGTCGGCGGGCCATTAGAATAAACTAACTAGGCGTAAATAGACATGGCCACGGGCGGGCTCGGCCGGTGAACCGGCCCTTGGTCAACGGGCCTAGACCTGAGTCTGTAGCTTGACCGATCGATTTTGGGTCATGTAGAATTTTTTTTTGATTTGGCGGGCCGGACCAAAATCGACCCTATGATGATCTATCGTTTTTTTAGATCGGCCCAGGTCGTTCCGAAACGTGCTTCTCAACCGTTGGCTTAGATTTGATCTAGGCTATCGTATAACAGCCCAGTCAACCCGTAGTAGGATATTGTCTGCTTTAGGTTGACTGGGCGGTTACAGTGGTATCAGAGCCAGTACCCAGATCGATGTGCCAGCGAGGACGCTGGGCCCTCCAAGGGGGGTGGATTCAGATATCCCACATCAGTTGTGAAGGGGAACGAAGCATGCCTTATAAGTGGGTGTGGATATCTTCACTAGTAGGATGCGTTTGGGTCAGTACCAGAACAAAACCTGCGGTCAAGACCAGCAGGGACAATATCCTACCACGCACCGCTGTGCAGGGTTAAGGCAAGCCTTAACTAAGAGGACGCGTTTTGTTGAGCTAGCTCCCAAAGGCAAAACCGTGAGGAAATGATCTAGTGTATACCCAAAGCGGATAATATCCTACTATGGGTTGACTGGGTTGTTACAGTGGTATCAGAGCCAGTACCCGGATCGATGTGCCAACGAGGACGTTGGGCCCTCCAAGGGGGGTGGATTCAGATATCCCACATCGGTTGTGAAGGATAACGAAGCATGCCTTATAAGTGGCTGTGGATACCTTCACTAGTAGGACACGTTTTGGTGAGCTAGCTCCCAAAGGCAAAACCGTGAGGGAATGATCTGGTGTATACCCAAAGCAGACAATATCATACTACGGGTTGACTGGACTGTTACAAGCAGCGACTATACTTGAAGAGTTAAAAGGAAAAGGAATTATCCCTGATCCGAAGCCTGTCAGGACTCCTAAAGAAAAACTTGATAAAACGCGTTATTGCGCATATCACAAGTCTCCGGGACATTACACCGATGAATGTCTCGGTTTGTTGTCAGCTCTCCTTCGGTTGATTGGAAGACCTCAACTTCAGAAGTTCAGGAACTTTGATGTCTGCCGCAAAGGAAGACCTATAGACACCTCGGATGACGAAGGTAATGATGACCGAGGTGCCAATGTAAAAAGGGTCCGAACAACCGACAATGAGGTCTTCACTTTCTCTAAGATTACCGGAACCTCAACTGGTGAAAACAAGAAAGCCAGAATAGATACTTCACCGAAGTCTCCTCACTATAACCCTATACCTCGATTGAATACCGATCCTAAACAACTTGACATTTCTCGACGCAAAGCCAAAGCTTACGCCCGAGAAGCACAAAATACCGGGAAGCAAGTACTAATGTTGATATCAGAGATACTATCAACAATCGGAATTGTCCCATCACTTTTAATATAAAAGACACTAACTTGTTCGTTCATCCGCATTCGGACGCTCTTATCATCATCGCCCCGATCGGAGGTATTCCTGTTCACCGAATCATGGTTGACACCGGAGCCTATTCAAGCATTCTCATGTTGCGGACCTTTAAGAAAATGGGGTTGGATCCGGCTGACATCCGACCCTGCAATGATCAAATCCAAGGTTTCAATGGAAGCATCTTTTGTCCTATCGGTGAGATTCAACTCCCTATTCGATTCAGAGGTTTTGGACCGAAAAAAAAAAAATCATCACGGAGACTTTCAAAGTCATGAATATCCAAAATGAATACAACGCTATTGTGGGTCGCACCGCTCTCTATAAACTTCGAGCTGCTATTTCAATTTTTCATTATGCATTGAAGTTCCCCACGGTAGAAGGAGAAGGAACCCATTACCGAGATCAACGAGAAGCGCGCAAGTTAGCTTCGCGCAATGCTCACGTGATTGAACCTGAACAACACGACAATTATAATCAGTTGGATGCTCCAGATTCGGCATTACCAAATACCGACGAGATGATTTCCCTTGTGCCGGATACCGACGTCCCCAAAGTGTCGGTCACTGACGTCCCTATGACATCAAAATTATTTGATAATGAACGAGATGAGGAAACGAGATGAAGATCGAGGGAAACGTCCCGGCAAAGAGGTCGTCCAAGTCCAAGATGATTTGGACCCAAGGCTACAATTCAAATAAAAAGTCAACATATTCGGGCAGAACCTGTTGAAGATGTCGCGGTTAACTTTGTAGATGGATCAGCTCGCGAAAAATCTCTCCGTATTGGTGCTAATCTCCAAGAGCCATTGCGAACTCAGTTGATCCAATTTCTCCAATCGAATTCCGACGTATTCGCATGGAAACATAAAGATATGAAGGGTATTGATCCCCAAAAAGCTTGTCAGCGACTTAACCTTGACAAAACAGTCAAACCTGTTATTCAGAAACGTCGGAAGTTTGGGCCCGATCGTCAAAAAGCCTTGGAGGAAGAAGTGAACAAGCTCATCGATAATAAATTTGTCAAGAAAGCAAAATACCCAACCTGGATATCAAACCCAGTATTGGTCAAGAAAAGTAATGGTTTATGGCGTTTATGCATTGATTTCTCGGATTTAAACAAGGCATGCCCAAAAGGTAGCTATCCCGTTTTGCACATTGATTACATGGTGGGCGCTACTTCAGGCCATCAATTAATGAGTTTTCTAGACGCTTATTCCGGTTCAAACCAGATTCTTATGCATCCAGAGGACGCCAAACATACCTCGTTCTATTCGGCTCGTGGCCTTTATTGCTACATCATGATGACTTTCAGATTGAAAAATGCCGGGGCCACATACCAAAGGTTGGTCAATAAGATGTTCGCCAATTTAATTGGACACACAATGGAGGTATACATAGACTGTTGGGTTCGATATACTGTACGGAACAGAGTTTGCAGCGGAATTTAAAATTTTATAAGTATTTATCTTATAAATACTTATTCCGTACATAAGTATAACGATATAACAAATAAGCATCATTTAAAATCTAGTAACTTTTAATAATTTTGATTTGATATGTAATTTATAAAAATTACCTTTGTTCTTGAACTCCTTCAAAACCGACGATGTATGAGGAAATCAATTCCCGGTTTGGTAACGATCACTTCTTGTGGTTACTCACTTTAGGAATCCAAATGTCTTCCCTCTAATCGTATCCACCTTTTTGAACTTTGGTTCCGACTATAGTTTCTTCGCTAGTAGAAACTACTCGGTTTTTCAAGAAGTATAGAATATATATTTATAAGGAAATTTTTCAAAAACACTTTCTTGTATTATCACTCAACTCTTTGAATGAATTTTCTCTTGGAAGAATTTTGCTCAAAACTTAGCAATTTATGTGCAAACATTTTGCACCTATTTATACTAAACATTTTAGCATAAAATAATCAATATTTGATATATTTTATTTTAAATAAAATCAGATTTTATTTAAATAATCATACCAAATATTGACTTTTAATTAATAATGTGATTGGTTTATAACCACCATCAATCATTATTATTGTATTAATAAAAATAAGATTAATTATGTGTATTAGTTAACAACTCCTAACCACCATAATTAATTTATTCTTATTATTATTTAATCTTCAATCATATTAAAAATAATAATTCTTGAAAACAATTTTCAAGACTTTATTATTTTAATCTATTCTTCCATTTCCTTATTTAATAATCTTATTATTATTTGGATTTGAAATTTAAAATCTAATTTTAAATTCCAACTATTAGTTAGTAATTCTATAAATTACTAAATTAATATCCAAAATTCAATTAATCAATTTAATTGATTAATTTAATATATTCCTTTAACTGATATCTAATCAAATTAGATTTGTCAATTAATTCTAACTCTTTAGAAATACTATTTGAATTTTACCTTCATTCAAAAATTGGTGTGACCTTTTAGGTTCACAATTAATACTAGTAGTGGGTTTACAACTCTTTGTAATTTGAGTTATTCATATTAACTCTTATTCTTGAATTAACTCTTTAATTCAAGAACCCACATATCATGGGAACATCTAGCAAGTAGCATGAATCTAGTATTAGGTGAATAGCGAGTAAACCTATTTCGATTACAAGTCCATACATGTAAAATCCTTTCGACATCCAATTTCCCGATTAAATCTTTGGGTATGATTTTGTCGAAACCCAAATTGATTTAATAACTATGATTCCATTTCAAGTTTAGTAATTCGTTTATGAATCACTATTCATTCCGCCTTGGCCAAGGACTTTGAATTACTAACTATGAAACACATAGGAAATTCACTTATCTTCATAAGTGTCGAATCCTTTGTTGGCCACTGACAAACTTCCATACATATTAATATAATACCCAAAATATCCCTTTATACGATTGTGCTAGCAATCAAAAGGATAAATCAAAGTAAAATATAATATGCACAAAGTTACCATCGTGCCTCAAGTCTAAGGATTAATCATGTACTATTGTAACATGAAAATTCTTATTCGACATGATAAAATTTCATTAAGAATTTTCATACGGTCATGTTCAGTGAACTTGTTCTCTAACAAGCACCCACATATATGTATTTGCGTCCCACGCTAATGTTGATGGAATGCAACATTCTTATCCAATAAGCATACATACTATGTGCAAGTCTTTTCCGGATTTATTCGATATCCCATCTCGAAATATCCAACGACTTGGAACTGTATTTAAGATCACAACTTTCAAGATATCTTCCATGATCACCATCTCTATGCGCAACCATATCTTATAGCTATAAGTGATCTAGGAATTTTATCTTAAGTGCA